CAATTTCGAAACTAATTTTTAACGCTTATTTTTATTTTGTACGTTTGGTATTTTGAAAGTTAAGAATTCAAACTTTTCCCGGTTCATTTTGCTTGAGTCGAGTGAACTTATTTCAAATTTTTTTACTATACGTGTTCTATTTAGTACAGTTAATATATAAAAAAAAATCATTGGTATGTAAATTACCTACCGAATACAGCTGTTTTCTTGTATAATTTCTAGGTAAGTTTGTTTTACCGTGAACATTTTTAGGAGTCATGTTTTCACATCACTAATCAGTGTATATCCTCAATTGCACTATATATTTTTTCCAAAGTTATTGATTTAACACTTTCACTGTTATTAGGATCAACCAAAGCCATTTGAAGTTGTATCGACTTTTAAAAGTACCACTACTTTCAAAAGCCTGTTGGTGGTTAGCTATCGATCTGCTATTAACCGCCATTACAATTTTTGGTATTCTGCTCTTCAATAGCAAATCGATGGCTTGTCGAAAGGGTAGAAGGCCAAATTGCAGATTAAAATTAAGCTACTACTAATTTCCATTTTAGTTTTAGTAAGGCAACAACGATCGTTAGTAGTTGAATGAATGAATGTCATCACTGCCATTCCACTGACACTGTATTGACACTCAACTGCCATTGCAACTAGATTTTAGCAGAATAGCCGCTCACGCGATGCGCTTCTCCTACCGCAAAATGGCGGCTATTTGGTTTCGCAAATTAGAAAAGCATTCAGTTAAAATACAAGTTTTTATAAATAAAAATTATTATTCTGCATTGCTCAATAAATACCCTCCGTACTACCAACAAAAACATCTCAAATAAAATGCTGCAAATCCTGCACTTAAAAAGTACTAATGAAATTTTTGGTGTACTTGGATAAATATGATAATATTCCGTTTGGGTAGTTCTAACGTTTACCATGAAATTACTCCTTAAAGTATAGTTTATAAACATTTATATTCAGGGTAAACTTAAAAAACGCTACTTACGGTATGTTTTCAATAAATAAACTCCGAAACCACCAGCCCAAACAATAACACACACGATTGTCGTGACGTATTTTGTGAAGTTGTTTATTTTTTTAAATGACAGGCCCACGCATTAAAAACCTTATGGTTTGCTAGAGTAGTTACCGAAATAGCAATTAATATTAGTTCTTTTACCTGTTATAACTTCGAAATCCGACAAATCGGTATAAAATCATCACCGGCACCTCTAGGTGTGGTATTTGTCTACGGCTGCATGTATCGCGTGAGCGGATAATAAATATTATCATAATTGCAATATGATCTTAGTGGAGTAGATATGGAGTGGATAGAATTACAACAACCGGTGGGTTCAAGAACCTTAGCAGAATTGGGGCCCAGCAGCTTGATTTTGATTGCCTCTCGCGATCGGAAACTGCGTCCTTTCCGAGTCGAGGCGCATAATTGGGATTGGAAACTTTTGACATTTCTAATCGGGACAATAGTTGATTTAACTCACAAATTACAAAGATATAGTAGGAATAAGGTTCATATTCTCGCTCAGAAACCCATCTGATTTAGAGACTACCCGATTGGATCGATTCAGATATGAATCACAATCAGGACGCTGGTCTCAATGTAGGGAATTCCTTGTACTATAAGTACTTAGAACAACAAAATTCACTTCGGAGTACTAACCAGAACCACCCAGATTCCAAACAATTTAAAAATATTATTGTTTGTTAGTGTTATTATAACACTCTACTTGTCTTTTGGCAAATACCTTCTTTAAGCGTGGATGCTTTTTTTATTTTAATATTATACAGATTCTCAAGAGACTACTTGTACATGTATTTGTATAAAGAGCACAAATACATGTACAAGTAGTCGATCGTGTATGGAGTACCTACTGCTGCCACCTTTGGGACGGCTCTGCCCATTACCAGTTAGCTGCCTTGGATTCGGTAGAGCGAAAAGTAAAGAACTTATTAACAACAATTCCCTTGTGGAGTCGAAGCTACAAAATCTCGATCATCGTAGAAAAGTAGACTGTTTCTCGGTCTTCTATCGGATACATTTCGCGGAGTGTGTGCATGAACTTTTCAATTTAGTTCCACCCTCACCGTTACTCCTTCGGTTGACGAGAAGGTCCTGAGCACTCCATTCTTATGTCGTTGATATTCCAATTATTCGCACTAAGCGTTTTGCTTTCTCCTTTCTGATGCGTACGGCAAAGGAATGGAATGCTCTACTCTAATCTGTATTTCCCGAAAAGTACAATTTGGGACTATTCAAGACTAGAGTGAATAGGTATTTATTAGGCAAACGCGTCTCATCGTCGGTCACATCATCGTCGCTTAACATCAGGTGAGGTTGTGGCCAAGCTGTATTTATTATATATTAAAAAAAAGATTAGCAAAGACTTCATCATGAGCAGGCCATATCTGTCAAGTGTCAGTTGTAAATCCTGTTGGTGGTACGGATGCATTGTACGGATGCATTGTACGGCTGTAATAGCACTGCAAAAGCAACGCAGCCGCGTCAACGAAACTTAAAGTTGTATTGAATTTATATCGATTTCTGCCATCAAATAGCAATATGAGCATTACTGCGGTTCGGTTTTGAAGGATAAATGTGCCAGTGAAACTATAGGCATATGGGATATACCAACTATACCTATGTCTCAGGTCGACGGGTGCGATGGCTGTGCCCCTATGAGCGGCACTGCAACATATGGGTAGGCGTGTTGCTTATCACTTGACGTACTTCTCGTCCCGTTACTTGATAATCATAAAAAATACACTAAGACCCCACATTAGGGTCTTTCGAGCGCCTGACAGGACGCAACGCCAGCACTGAGCGACTGCTGAATATTGCCCAACGGTGGGTATACGCCGCGCTGGCGTTGCATCACGGTTGCGCCGACGTCGTCGTCATGTCGATGCTAAATGTGCGTTAGCAAGACTCTGATGCTCGAAAGATGCTAGTGTCTCTTAGAGTATTTTCATATAACTAAACGAACAGGTTTTTCCGCTTTCACTTACAGTAGGTTTAAGTATCCATAATTTCTGCAGACTATTTCGACATTTCGGTATAACATTAAGTTTTGAGAACAAAGAGAGTAAGTATTGTGGTGTAAAAGTGAGTTGTGACTAAAACAGAAAAGTGAGTGCTTAGATAGTTTGTTCAACAGATGGAATAGTATACTGAAGAACGTTTCAAACGATAGACCTCCATGTATATATCTCACAAGGTTCTTTCATGTCATTTAATGGCTACGAAAGTTTACAAATCAAATCTAGAATGTTCTTAAAAAGGTTGGAGTGCGTAGTAAAACAATCAGAGGGCTTGGATAAAAAGATTAATCATTGTAAGTGAAGCAGTAGAGATTTGTAAGGATCATGCAAAAGTGGCTGAGACTATTTGTAAACCCAAATGCAAAGGCACTTTCTGGTTTGTTCCTTTTGAGCGGTGTTCCTTTATTTTAAGATACTATGTTACTTAAAAGGAATTAATCCTTATAAATAAGGCGCACTATAAGTTTACGGAACTGGCCACTTACATAAACAATATTTAAAAAACAATTACAACATTTGAAAACGAAACTCTTTGCCTGTAGAATACAGTTTGTTTCGTCTGACTGTCATTTGTTTTTACATTGTGGCGTCATTTTAGAAATTGGTTTCTACATCACCATGGATTTAACTCGTGAAAAATTTCGTAGTATGATTTTCTACGACTTTAAGTGTAAATTTACAGCTCAGCGGAGCTTCGCTCGGCTTCAAACTGATTTTGGCGATGAAGTACCATGCAAGACGACTATTTATAGCTGATTTGCAGAATTCAAACGCGGTCATGTGAATCTCAGTGACGAACTCCGTCCTTTGCTGTGAACAACAAAAACATCGATGCTGTGTGCCGTATGATCAAAACAGACAGGCATGTGACATACTATGAGATTCGGGCATCATTAGGTATGAGTCAAATACAATCAATACTACACAAATATTTGGATGCTCCAAATATTTGTGTAGTGATAGTTGTGTGTGATCCACCGGTGCTCACGGTGGATCACACACAAATTGACTAAGGCTCAAAAAACGGATCGCGTCACTTGGTGCAATACCATGCTTACCAGATTCAACGAAGGGGCGTCAAATTCGGTGTGTGACATAGTAATAGGTGACGAAACATGGAATTATAGTCACGATCCCAAAACAAGGCAGCAATCGAGCGTATGAGTCTTTCGAGATGAGCCGAAACTAATAAAATAAATGTGGACACGTGGCTACTGTTACTATGGAGAATCGTTGTACCGTGAATAGTGCTTGGTACACGACCATTTGTTTGCCGGAAGTTATTGACAAACTCCGCAAAAATAACCGTAAACGCTGTATCATCTTGCACCACGATAATGCCAGTTCCCACACGGCCAGATAGACAAATGAATTTTTGAAGGTGAACATTGACCTTATGAGCCATCCCGCGTACTGTCTCGACCTGGCACCTTGTGACTTTTATTTATTTCCAAAAATTAAGAACCAGTTACGCGGTCAACGATTTATATCACCTAAAGATGCTGTCGAAGAGTATGAAAAATATGTTTGAGAGATTGTCGCGGAGGAGTGGCATAAATGTTTTCAAAATTGATTCATTCGTATGAATAAGTGCATTAACGCTAATGGAGAATATTTTGAGAAACATTAAATTCATTTCTGACATTTATAGTATTTTTTTCTTATTAATTCCGGAAACTTTTAGTGCGCCCACGTAGTTGACTCTTACGATTGGTAACATAAAAATCCTGTTTTTTTTTTTCATTTGGATGGTTCGATTACCGGATGAGACTAGAAACTTTTAAAGTCTTTGAATGCATATTACTTAATTTTAAAATAAAATTATTTCTCCATGAAACAATACAATTAAAATCTCTCTCTCCGTGTCCCACTGACGTGGGACACTTGTATGTATTTCATCCTAGTTTGAATAAAGCTTTAAACTAGTACCAAAGTTAAAAAGTAGCACTTACTGTTAACATGTAAATAAGTCCTGCTAACTCTAGGCGGGTGTGTGGAGATCTGGCATTCGTAGACACCTTCATCATCAGGCTTGACCTCCCTGATGAGAAGTCTCCAGTTTCCAGGGTATCGCCTGGCGACAGTTACCCTGTTGTCAGCGGCATACGTTACAGCTCCCACTGTCAGGAGTTCCGGCATCTCATCTCTGCCTCTACGACGTACCCAGGATACCTAGAACAGAAATTTTCGTTGCCATTTAGAAAAAATGTAAAGGAAATTTCACTTTCATTTATATTACTAGCTTAATACTAATAACAATAATTCTTTCATTAGCGGGCAACTGATATCCATTAATGTGTTTTGGTATAATTTGTGGTTGTGTATGAGTGTGTCCATAGCAACCGTGACACAGGGTTTTCCTAGTGCGGGACTATAAGTGTGTATGTTATTTTTTTATAAAAATATTAACGGAACGCAATAATACTCCATTGAGTAACGTTTTTTTTTCCGAACCACCTTATATATGGAAGGCGGTTTCTCAGTAAATGTCGCTTCGGGAGCGTCACATGTCATATATCCTTGCGAAAGAGTTCGTCCAGGGAAGTACTGTGTGTCAACTGATGCCTCAGAGTAACGGGAGCAGAGACAATACCTCTCAGACCTTTGCGATTTAAAGCTCTGATCACTGCAACCGCCATGAACAGGCGTGTCGTTTGCTACCAGGCACACAAAATGTAGATGATTAGGTAGATCGAATATTGAAATGTTTCTTTTATTTCTTAACTGCCTCGGTGGTCGAACGGTTGCCATGCCGGACTGCCACGCAGAGGTCCCAGGTTCGATTCCCGGGCGGGAGAAATTTTTGTATGGCCGACATTTATTTGTCTCGTGAGTTTGGGTGTAATTTGTGGTTGTCTATGTGTGTGGCACCCCCGACACAGGGTTTCCCTAGTGCGGGGCTATGTTGGGTGTGTGTATTTCTTGTAAAATTTCATTTAGTTTTTGTATACTCTGTCAAATTACTCTAGATGGTTAAAATGATATTTTCTATTAATTATTACTAGGAACTGAAGCGAAAATTTCGGAACAACGCTATCGGATTCTGTTAACAAAACTCCACAAAGGAGACTTACAAAATGAACATAAATTTCACGAATCCCTTCTAATAGCTTCGGGGTGTCGGCAGATTTAAATGGCTACATCCGTACTAAAGGCAGATGTTTTAAAAGTGTTGGTTTGTTCTTTGGCGCTTTTATTGTCGCGGTTTCCACCTTTTCTTATCTTATTTTTGTAGGTTTTGGCTTTTGTTCCACTGAGGATAATTCTGCCAGTGTCCGGGTAGATTATGAAAATCGTCGCCAATTTTTAGCATATGTTTGGGTTAAGATTGTATATAACTTTGTGTAACTTAGTGCACCATAGTGACAGGTTGCCAGCCTGTCGCCTACTTAAAGGACACTATTAAACGTAATCCCTCAGTCGAATTTTACAACTTGTACATCTTTATATTAATTGATGTAAATCACTGATATTTGTAATATGTACAAGAAAAACAAAAGCAATCAATTTATTTGACATGCGACATTAAAAAAGACAGTACCTATTACAATCATTAAATTGGTTTATAGCTTAGCTATAAAGGACTTCGAAGACTATAGCCCTCTTTCGTTGAAATTTAACTTTAAAAAAAATAGCAAGGCGATACCGATTTATTTTATCAGAAATTACTAGCATTAACTGATGTCCTGATTCCCGGAGCGGTTTACCATTCTTCATGAGTGCCAATGTCTAACTGACTGTCTTGTGTTCCACGAAAATATTTAAAAACTTGCAAATTGTATTGTGGAAAAATACGGCTGTAATACAAAAAATCAAGCTTTGCAATATAATAATAACACGCAGACTCATTGCCCCGCAGTAAGGAAACCCTATGTCTCGGGTGCCATGGACACATACATAGACAGACAAGCATAAATTACAGCCTAACTCAGGAGAGATATAAATGTAGGCCATACAAATATTTCACCCGGCCCAGGAATCGAAGCTGGTACCTCAGCGTGGCAGTCCAGCAGCAGTTCAGTTCGGCCACGGAAGTAGTTATGTAAAAATATGACCTTATTCGGTTGGGTTACAATAGCTACTGTATCTCGTAATAGTGAAGAAGACACTAAAATTGCAATATTGTTTCATGAATATTACTATGTTTTGTTACAATGGCATTTAATATTTTTTGTGAAATTACTCCACCCGTTTATTGTAATTACAACACTAAGAAAACTCCCTTCGATCAGGCTGGATTAGAACCAGCGCCTTCAGCATACCATGTTATCAGACACATACACTGTACAGAGCAAAAAGGTAGGAGTTAAAATAAAAATGAAGGTGCAAATTTAAAAAACGCTGCATTCTGCGATAGACACCATAGTAATCCATTTTTCAACATAGTAACATAATTAGTACAATTGTGGTTTATGTACTGTACTTATTATTATCTAATTCAACTCAGGCATGATAATAACTTTAAAAAATAGATCACTCCAAATGAAGAATCGGTTGTGTTGGCGTAATGGTCACAAATGCACTACAAAATTTTAGAAGTATTAAATCTGTTATTAAATTACAAAGTGAATTTTGATGAAGCTAATTCGTCCAGTTGGTCAAACAATAATGTAAAATAAACAAAAGCTTCGTCAGAATTTCACTTGGTGTTAAACAACTTTGTAACGCTTTGTAGCGTTTGTTAGCCCTGAATTACAGCTTTCGGGAAACACAGCGCTCCACTTCTGCCACTCCTTTGCCATACGCATCAGAAAGGAAGGGAAGGAATCGAAAAAAATAAACTATCAGTGTCCAACTGACCAATCATACACCATCAACTGCTTACCTGATTAGTTGAGTTCTAGGATTTGAAATTTAAAAAAAGAAATAGATGCTATTAGTTTCTCGTACTGACGATGTTACTAATATTCAATGATCAGAAAAGTTATCTAAATTCGGAGGAAATCACTCACACAACTTTTGGAACTACAGTAACATGTAAAACAAAAAAAAAACACTTGAAACAATAAATGGATGAGCACTGGTAACCTAGTCGGAGTCTGTTGTTTCTCAATTAAGAGGCATGTACTTATGACTTCAATTTCTGAGTTACGTTCATTTGTGGCTATTTAATAGAAATAGCTCTTGCAAACGATGAAGGAAAATATCGTGATGAAACTACATGTCAAACAACTCCTCAACTCCTGGAAAACGTGTTAAGATTGCAACCCCTTTGAGCCAGTGTGGTGAACAATAGCCAAAATCCCGGGAGGTCTTGGCCCAAGCAAATAAGTTGATGATGATGGAGAAACAAAGTACGGATAAACCAGTTTTAAAATTGGCATTATACAGACAGAGTCACGAAAATAAGCATGCTATGATCTCGACAAGAGAGGTTTGGAAACAATAAGGCTTTTACCCTCATTAGTAGGTTCCAAGTCGCTTTCATTCTGATAGTACTCTTAATTGAGGAGGTGTGGTACAATTTGTAGACTCGATAGAGAATTGCTATTAATTTCAGTAATTAATTTTTGGTCGTACCGTTCCCACCCCAGTTTAATATTAACACGCTTTTGTTATAGGAGTGTATTCCGTTTTATGAAAACCATTTTATATTTTTTGGCTTTCTCATACAGCTATCGCATAGAAAGCGTTTAGGTATGTTAAGAACGAATCATCACCTTTGGTTTACTAGTTTTTCTCTAACCGTACTTAATTTTTTATTCATCTACTTCGCTAATATGAATATAATAACAACTTTGGTGGTGGTCCCGGTAGGACCAATTTGGCAAATGGACTCTATACATTTGTTCTGTTCTGAGTGTTGTCGGCACCCATAGTACAGGACATGCACTAGTATAGTAGACTAGGGAGTTGGTGTGGTTGTCTGGCACATTAAATAACAAAGTACTAAGAAATATGACAAATAAATTAAGCTAAAACTTCAGAAAAGTGCAGCAAGAATATAAGAAGATGTGCAAAAGAATTCCCAGTCTTGCAACTTGGAAACTACCCGGGAAACTTTCGAACCTTTACTGCTCTCTAAGTTAGACTGCACTATTATTTTTATTATATTCCGTGGTAAGCCAGGGAAATCAATTTTAATATCCACTAAAATCAGAAAAGTTCTGTGAGAGTTGTTTTCAGGAAGTAGAACACGAGATTGGTAAATTGCTTTGAATTTTAGATTTAAAATTTAAGGTTGAAGAACACTACAGAAAAAGAAATATTATTCAAAAAGACATATATTTCAGTCATCTGCATAAAATATAACATTAAAAACTTGAAAATTATGTTATGTAGAAATTAAAAAGTGTTGAACCTTTCTAGCCGAATCGTCTATGTTGGAGACAGTAATAAGTACGGACACAAAACGGAACGCAAATGCGCCACCTAGCAGTGTAGTCACAGACATATATCTAGATAGACGCCGCAAGTACAGCAATTTGTATGAAAACCAAGCGTGCCAAATTTTTTGTACCCACTATGACGTCACAAGAACCATTTAGTGATGGAAACCTCTATCCGCTCGCTCTAAATCGATTGACTGAACGGAATACGCGTAAACACGTATATTCCATTCGATTAATCGATTCTAAATATAATAATTTTTGTTCAAGTATTTGTTGATTACAAGTAGTCGTAATAATAATATTGTAGAAAAATACTAGAATAAGATAGTTAAGTCATTTATTTTACTTGTTTTAAAAAAAATGGTTATTTATAAAAATTAAGATTTAAATTTTTAATTGACTTCAAATATGGAAATTATTGTCCTTCCAATAAAATGAGCTTATTATATAACATCTTTTTATAATAGAAGGTCTTATAGATTAACTTAAATAATGAAAACGTACGTCAATATATGAACTTGCGACTGCCTTAATTAATTTTACTAGATGGTTTTCTGTTGGTAATTGATCAAATTGATGAATGCCAAGACAAATGAAAATGCTACTGCTGACAAAATATGGTAAAATCTTATTAATCAGAGGAGGTTTATTAATGACGGCCTCGTGTGAAATTTTTGTAATTTGTTTATTATTTCTCGTATTTCTAACTCTGCTACTCTACATATTTGGATAGGATCTTGGGTGGAATAAACTAGACCATTTTCGTCCTCGAAAGCAACGAACTCATACTTAAGACCAACTCTAGGTTTTTGTAAAGACAGCGCACTGTTAATTCTTTGCATTATATATTTTTTTGTATTACTCATACTACGTATCCGGCGATGTATGTAATTATTTGCTCACTATATTCGGACATTCGAGGCAACGTGCTGCAAAAACTATCGAAATTACAGATACTACTCATACTAGATACTACAAAAATTAAGAAAAAAGAAACGTTACTAAACGTTACAACAAAAGAGTTATAGAATATTTTCATAATATTGCTAAGGTCATAATAATTTCCGTCCCTTTGTTTTCAAAGTCGATCAGAATCGAGAACAGTGTTGCCTAACGTATACATCACTAAATGTTAAATTTGGCCAAAGAAATGTATACAAGCGGCCGTACCACGAAACTGAATGCATTATTCAAAATGCGTTCGTTCGATATTCATGGCGTATTAACAAAGGATCACGAATATATCGCACCAAGTAAAAGCCGCCGTATTACAAATCATGAGACATACACTCGGCTGCATATTTGTTTTCTCGAAAAATGGGCAAAACCAAAATAATTGTTTTTAAAATAAATTATGCATCTTCAGATTACAAAATCACTTTCCTGTGGAAGGATACGGCCCTGTTTACCCGGCACAATTATGCATTTTTCGTGTTTTCGACTGGGGTTTATCTACGATAACGGTCGAGCGCGTTCTGAAGTGTAGCAGCGGTAAGTACGTGAATTTCACTTACTTTGGGCACACGTACACTTGCGGTGTCTATCTAAATATATGTCTGTGAGTGTAGTCCTCACAACTAGGTTTCCCGCGCTACGACAGAGTCGTGACGTTGCAACAACGCGTTGTTGGCGGGCACGATCGGACACACTTTTCGATGGTCGCCATACAGACTAGTCGTCGTCACGGAACTGTCCTCCATTTCGCCAAGTGTCCATTTTGATCGTTAAAAGTAATAGAAAGTACAAGTTGTTGTTCGATTTCAACGTGATTAAAATATATAGTGTTACTTTATACGTAGTCGCATTGCACGATTTATAAATCTGTCCAAAACGATGACTGAAGATTCAGTTCTAAACCGTGAAGGTTCCAGCATGTATATTTGAAACAGTCTGTTATTTATTTATGGAGCATATTTTAGTACCTAAACTGATCATATTGTACTTATTTTTGCTGCCAAGCAATAGCTTGAGGGTGCTGGTAAAATTTACGGGCAGATCTTTGCGACTGAAGTTCTAAGTGGCACAGTAAGCATGTCGCTTGCTACCAGGCGCACGACTAGGTCGCCACTTGATGTCATAAAACAAAAACAGTAAAATACAATCTATATCACTACTTATATTATTCACAATGGTTACGTCACAAGTAATCTCGGGTTATAGGTTTCCTTTAATTTGTACCTTACACGAATTTACTTTTTTTAATCATTACAAGGGTAAATTCTAATAAATAAAATAAAGATTTCGGGATAAACTCAATGAATGTTGAGTCAGAGCAGAGACAAGAAAAAGAGAGAAAAAAAATTACATTATGGATTGCCATAAAAACATAGGAGGGGCGCCCTCTGAACATTCCTAAAATGAATTAAATATTGTTATTTATAGCGCCACCTAGCGAGTTTACTACGCACCAGTTAATAAGCTCAGTATACCATGCCGTAATGTTAAGTAGCGCAGCTCGCCAGGTGTCGGTACTAACATGTTTTGGAAAAAATAAACTATTGCTGTTAGCTTTATAGTATGTAGCCGAGTCACAAACCCATTTGATCTATTTGTGTAGATTTCTCACAGATGGCGATACGGCAAAAAAGTTGTAAAAACCAAAAACAAAGATCTGCTACAAGCACATAGAAAGTTCGTAAAGTCTGTTAGTCTGGCACGGTTTGCTGGAAGACGTTCATTCGAATCCAGCCGGGTGTTCTATCTTTGTATTAATAATTATAAACATTTGTTCTTATAATATTACATGCTTCAGACCCAAGCTAGTGTGCCCTTAGTTTTGTCTGATAAACGCAACTGGGATTTTTAGGGATATTTTTCTTGATACCCTTATATATATGATATAAAGCGCTAGATTTCAATGCGATATTTTCATTATAATGTACACTGTGTGTTTACGTGATCATAGGAGTAATATTGTCTGGGTCTGGATCGCTTCATATATGCGTTTCGAAGTACATTAGGATACTAGGAGGATATTTTCATTGTTGTGTTATAAAATAAACATTCTATGCGAGTGTGTGAATTAAAGTAATTTTGATTTTGACTTACCGTCTTATCTTGAAGCAAACTAATTCTACAATTCAAATGGCCATCTTCTCCCAGTTGTACAGTAACTTTAGTTATGTTACCATCCTTCGCATCTTCGAACGTCGGCCCATATCGTCTATCATGATCAAAATATGTATTCTTAGCTGATATTACGTGTGGTATCACGTCTATTTTGACTTTGTCGATTGGGTTCACTTTTTCAATAACAGGATCGTTCTGATTCGTGTCGCTTGTTGTATCTACGTGATTTTCTGTCGGTTGTGGTACTTTAAATGATTTGGTACTGTCTATTGTAGAGTTCCCCAGGCGCAGCATGATAGGCGCAGGCGCAAGGCCGGTGGTTAATGCGTAAAATGATGTCACGGTTTGGTCTTCTGTAGTCGTTGTTGAAGCTGGAGGGTTTTCTGTGAACAAAAAACGGATTTGTTTAAATAGTTTGTGTGGAATGAGAGTTAAAAAGCGAGAGAAAATTACTCTTACAAGGTTCTCTACTAAGCCCAAAGTTATATTACGTATATCTGATTCCTATCAATGACAATACCTATACGACAAAAGATTTCCGCTACATTTACTTTGCACTACCCTTAAGGGCTAAATGCAAGTTCCATTCAAAATTTTGTTAATCAGCATAAATCATTGTCAATCGACATGGACGTGGATAGAGTGACGTAACTCGCTCTCGCTATAGTCTTTAGGATATATTGTGTGTTGTCACAAACAACCCTTCAACATACGTCGTTCTGTTCGCCACAGTTTTTTTAAAGGAGAATGTTTAGGATGTAGTCCTCTATACTGATCCAATAAAGATTAAGGATTTTACGTCTCCAAAATACAGGGTTTATCCATAGGGATGGATAGAATATCGATTTTCTACGTCGTCGTTGACGTAAATGGTTGTTTTTGGGAATCTGGGGGTCGATTCAGAACCTTACGATAACTCAGTTGTCGCTGATTTCTTTTCATTTTTATTTACAACACCCGAATCGAACGTCAAACTATCGTATTCGAAACCGAACCGAAATGACGTCACACCCGTATGATTTCTCAAACTTCTCGACCGGCAAGGCTACAAACGTTATTTAGAACACAGTTATCGAATGAAAGTTACCGAACGTCCTACTGTTTACAAAGCAAGAATGTAATATGACAATCTCTTATTATTTTAAATAAAGTCTGGATTTTATCCAATTTTATGATTTTTTTTAATGCTTTTCTCAATGCATTCCTATATTTTATGGCTTTAAAGTCTTAAAAATGTGTGTAAAAGGATTTTCATTTTTCTTATATCTGTTTCACCGACTAACTCCGTAAACTCTGTTGGATAACGATATCGTACCCGAATCGTACGTTTAACTCGAATATTCTGAATAGCTCGGATAGCGACCTTAGATTCGAGAACGATTCGGTTAAAATATCGATGAGTTCTGAATCGGGATCCAGAACTGCTCATGATACGTACAGACTCAATGATATAGGCGTCAAGATGGATACCGAACTCAAGATATCGGAGGCAAGTATTCTCCCAGTTATGCCATCAATAATTTTAAATTGTGTCCTTATTCTGAATAATACTCGTATATTTTTAGCTGTTACCACGAGTACGTATTTTGGTTACTTTTTAAATAAAAAATATATCTCTCTCCATATTTATTTTTATTCTATCAATATTACGATATTTGTTTTCGGTTTCGTATTTTCTCTTCCTTTTTCCTGTTCCCCCTATTATTGGCAAATAAATAGAAGTGCTGGATAACCGAGCAATTAAACGCGCTGTTGGACGCCACAGTGGGGTGTTCCGGCTGCTTTGAATTTTCAGGGAGCAAAGATTTTTCTGGAATTTGAAAATCGTATTTATTAGAGAATGTCCAATATAATAGATGTCTTCCATTGAATTCTAAATACTTTGTTTACAAATAAAAAAATAATTATGGTTTTCGTAAAGCGGTAGATCTCGGCGACTAACTCCAAGATTTGTAATGTTTGTGGTTTTTGTCATAGAATTAAAAATACACCTTGCTTTAATTTAGTCCTAGTATTTAGTAAATAATGAAGTACATAATTTATATTTTTTGTTTCTTAGTAGCGATATCTGGCGGATTATGTCTACTATTAATAATACGGCATGCAATTAATATCATGTTGACATTAGTCTAGCGGTATCTTATTGTCGTGCCCCGCGCTAGGGTATGACGCTGACGTATGTAATGTCAAACGACGTTAATTTGTTTTTTATTTGTAATGAAGCCACATAGAGTCTCGTAGAGTCCTGTAATTTCTCTTTTTCCTCTAGTGTATACCTACCGGCCTGATAATAAAAGGATTAATTGCAACCCAAAACAAGGACTATAATTTGTTGTCGGAAGGGACGGATTATATCACCGCTTCGTATAGACTAAAAGTTTTGTCAGGCTGGACATCAATTTGTTAGTGTGTGTTCTAGTTTTTATATTAAATTTCTAGTTATTGTTTTCAAACAAATAATTTCTTTACCCTTAAATTTTTGCTTTCTTACACAACATCGAACGTCTGAACTACAATATAAAAAATTTTCCTATTGCATAGTGCAGGGATTACAGCTTCTGTACTTTCTCTCAAAGAGGCATGGATTTCATAAGTGACGACCCGTGGTACATTCCCACTGTTGGGCGAATAGTTTGAAAATTTTTTTCAGCATTTTATTTTGTTTTTTGTATGAGCTTATCTTACCTATTTCTGCCGCCTGAGATCGTTGCGGTTTAAAGGTCATGTCACGGCCGGCGCACGACCGGAGCAGGCCCGGCCTGAGCACGATGTAACCTGAACCAGCCTTCAAGCTTTGAGCGGCACTGCAACTATTATGGACAGCCGTGTCGCTGAACACCAGTGAAAAAAATGTAAATTTGACCACCATTAGAGCGTTTGCGCATTACATCCGATTCGTATCAGGGGGTTCCCGCTCTCCGTTCGACATTCGTCCGAAATAATTACTGTCAGTTAAGTAATGCTCGACCAAATTATAAAGATGCATGATGCGAATGAAGCTACATACTTCACATTGCCTATTTGATTTGGTTGAGGATTACCTATTTGACAATAATTGTTTCGGACAGAGAACGGGAGTAGACTACCGAATCCGAGAAATGAGGGTCAGAAATGTCACGGGGATCATTTTTATCTCTTGGTGTACAAGAGATTTTTTTTATACATGACAACAGATGACTCCACTCCGCCGGATGTTAAATGGAAAGTGGAATCCAAACGTGAAGGTACCTAGTGCAGTGTTGATGCAATCACTGCCCTAGCCACCTCCACCCTGCATGCCTACAAAATGCCTCTTCACGCATCGTTTGAAGGACCGCATATCGTACGATACAGGTAGTTCCTGAAAGGTAGTTCCGTCTGTCGACTGTACGACAGAGAAAGATGCCACCAAACCTTTCAGATCGCGATGGAATATGGCTTTAATTGTATTTTCTCCTTAATTCGCATTTTCTCGAATCGAACTTAGTGCGCAAGCGACATCCGAAATGGGTCCGATTTTTCTAGATTGGTATAATATCAGAATTCGGAACGTATACAACAGACGTAGTGCACAACCGCGCTACGGAGTTCGATATTTGAAATTTTACTAATACAACTTACATAAGATCCTATCCCAGAGTTGCCTACAGGAGTACATATACATTTCAAGATTAAGATTTATTTATAACTAAACAATTCGTCCTTTAAAACACAACACGAACAGACGTCAGTAACATTTACGTCAAGACATAAAACTTATTACTTAAATAACTTTGTTCAGTTAACATTTTAAGTTATGTGTCCATTTGTAATAAATGAGACGACTGATGGAATTATTTATGGATTCAGGCTTCTTACCACTGCTATGACTTCTTTATGATATCAAACTACGGGACGAGCAAGACGTGTGGTTGGTGGTAAGTGATACGCCTACTCATAACAGTTGCAGTGTTATTCAAAGCTTTAAATGGCAACGATGTGAGAGGCACTGCTATTGCACCTGTCTTCGCTAGACATGAAGGTAACAAGTCTCGTGTATCTTTAATTTCACCAGCACCCTTATCCTTCGAAATAGGGATACATTAATGCTCATATTATTGCTTGGCAGTAGATATAATATGGTGGCAGTATTTCCATGGGCTAATTCTTTAACATGGAGCTCTACTGCTACTACATACTACATGTTGAGGTCACGGGTTCGATGTGCGTTGTTTATTGCCTCTGGATTTAATTTCAGTGCTCTGGTATTCATTGTATAGGTATTTTCCAGTTCGAAATTTGGTAATTGGAGTGGTTTTCTGGCACATTATCATTATATACCGCCACTCTGGCCTAATGCAAGTTAGGGGCTTCACATTTCTTCCAAGGGTTTCTTACAAGATGTTGATGATTCTTAGAAGAAGGGTTAAGTTTCTTACAAGATGGACCAACGACCTGGTGAATGTTGGGGGAATCCGCTGAATGAGAGCTGCACAAGAAGATCCTTGTGGTGATCTTTTTGGGAGGATCCAGCAGTGGATTTCTTTCGGTTGAAATGATGAATATTATACAAATATACCTGTTTATACTATGACTGATGATGTAAACGTGCCATCCTCAAGATTTCAGCCGAAAAACGTCCATTACTTCGTTTTCCGGAACGACTAATTTGGGTATTCAACATCTTAAATTGGTACTGGTCTGGGTGTTCTGGTTAATGACCCCGGAGATCATTTTGGTCTGGTATCCATACAGAGGGTATTAATTAAATTTATAATTCACACATCGCTACCATTTATTATTTTGCGTAGAAAATAATAAGGCTGCATAACGTCCCCACAGTGATCACTTAGTACGTTTATGCGCATAATAGAATTTGACCACAACATATAAATAGAAACGAATCATATACTATGAAAATGATGTCCCCGATGATAATATTAATGAATTAATGGATCAAATTGACTTTATTCCACATTACAATTACAATAATAACACAGAACTATAAAAAGACACACATTGAACAATTGAATAGATTAGATACACATTGAATATTAATAATAATGCCGTGAAGTTCGAAACCACTCGTGTTAGCTTAGTGGGAGAACGATTGTTTCTCTATTGAGCTATTGACGGTCCGAATCCCTGTGGCAGCATGCACCTATGACTGTAATTTTTAATTAAAAAAGTTATGTACGGTTGTGATGTTTAATAGTAATACCTCTAGCCAGTTTTATAAGTATAATAGTGATGAGACCTATACGTCCAAGAAGGTTCACAGCCTTTCCTCCTTTTGGATATTCCAAGTATTCACACCAAGCGTATCGCTTCTACATTTAAATGCAAACGGCTATGGAGGGGAATTCCTTGTCTGCAGACATGTTCGCTATATTTTAGTCTTTGCATGCTCTATCGTTAAAATTAA